AAGCCTGAAGGTGAGCCGAGGGCGCTAGATGGTCAGGAGATTGGGAGTGGATATCCGGCATTTCAGGATTGTGGGTGCATCTTCACCCACAAAGAGATATAAAATTGTAAACCTGGGCGCCGGTGCCGCATGATGACGCCGCAATGGCTTGACGTCGAGAGCGACTAGAGTGCTGGACACTGAAAAGGCGCCTTCGGCGCACAGAATGCCCTGGATGGTGTCTTTCCAGAGGGCGCCTGCTAGACTGCTAGATAGATTTGGGAGGGGCTAAATCCCAGTGTGCCCCCCCCCCTTGGCTGCGCCCCTGAGTCCTTTGTCTAGCGATTTTCGAAGTACGTATCGCGTCCGTAGGGGCCTTGGGAGCTGCCGGTGACCACAGAGGCCTTATCAGGCCCCTGCTGACTCGGGACCGGAGCCCTGAGTCATGTGGGCCATAACACCACAGGGCACCGCATCTTTTTCGAGATAAATGACCGTTCTGAAGCGTGTCGTATTTTCCGGAACATGACCTGGCATTTACATAGTATTAAGCGCCTGCCGGCCTCTCTCCTGTCCGCGGCTGACAGCTTACTGACGATCCATACTGACGATCCACCTGGCAATCACCAACTCAACCCTAATTACGCCGTTATCCGCTAGGTGGCGGGGTCATACGATCCAAGTCAGGACAACGGATTCTCATAATTATTTTATTATCATATTTTCCCTTTTTAAAGTCATTTAAAAGCGCTATTGCAGAAGTAATTTTTCGATTAGCAGCGATTGCAGCCGCCGCATCAGGGTCCGGATTGAGCCAGGGAGCGTATGCCCCGATGACGTCACCGTAGTGTTGAAGATTTGTAACACTAGCGAGCCCGGACGATCTTACCTAACTTATACGGCCTTGCATTTCCTTTCGAGTTTGAACGAATGGGAAGGAGTCAGAGTGGTACGATTTTTGGACGCCGGTGAAAACAGGGCGCCGGAGGGCATATTAGTCACGTGACATTTGGAACTTCTCCTGCTCCATGGGCCTTCTATATCCCAAACGTCACGTGTAAATTTAACGAACCTTGATCAAATCGCCCCAGGCGCCCTGTTTTCACCGTCGTCCCGATTTTTGTAGTTTACAAATATGTGGTTTATAGCATGCTCAATGCATTGAAATGTTTATTCACTATTCAGATAAATTAGTTTTGGTTCTATTTATTTAGTAAATCCAATGTATGTGTAGTAGAGCCTCATCTACGGCCGGCGGCCCTGTTTCACAGCACACCGCTACAGAGCGGCACACATTGACATCCTGCGGCATTGGCATTGCAATTGTTTCCCTTGAAAACATTTGGAAAACATCAACAAATTTGTTGGATGCTCTAACATTGAGAGCCTCCGAGTTTATTGATGTAGTAAGGGAAATCCAATACCGTGGCTAAGTGTATCGCACTGATAGCATAGCATAGCATCGTGCCATGAAATAGAAAAATAGTTGTGGTGAGATGAGGAATTCATTGAATTGGGATGAGATTAGAGGGCGGATTAGGATTTTCAACATCATGGTCAACATCCTTAGTGTGAGATCTATCAGGGTTGTTATTTTTATACCAGTCGATTCAGGACTCTCACCATTGGGGAATGTTCTATCCCTTGGTTCTATCCACTAAGCTACAGGGTGGACTATGATATTGCTAGACATTTCAATCAACCCGCGCCCCACTGGGGGGGCTATTCATAGCCCCCTCCCGTTTTTCTGCAATAACTTCCAAAAGCTAGATCCAATTTCTTTGCATGATATTACTCAGAATAGACTGCGCTATCAAACTGCCATCTCGGATTTTCAGAATTTTAAAAATTTTGAAAATTATTTGTTATAAAATTCAAAATTTATCTTTTTACATTTTTTTCAAAAACTTTTTGACTTTTCGAAAAACTGGAATATTTGCGATAGAACACATGCTTATGACTTACTCCAGCAAGTCTTAGCTAAATATCTGCAAAAATGACCAAGTTATTCAGTCACATTATTGCAAAACATTCAGAATTATAAATTTTCCAAATCAATTTTTCAGTACGTATTTGACATCGTACACCAATATTAATAGCACCATCGTGTTCCTGAGCTCAAACTGACTCTGATAGACACCTTTTTTGTTGAAAAAATTTAGCTTCAAAATTTGACCTTTTTTGACCTGAAAGCTGAAAGTGACCTGACCTAAGCTAAATTCAACTCAAAATGTCCTCGAATTACACAAAAGACATCAAATTCGAAATCTATGGCCTAAATGGACCATAAAACATGTGTCACATGACCGATGCATGATATAATATTTTCGTGACCTGTGATGACCTGACCCTGACCTGAAAATCAAAGTACAAGTTTGGTACCCTCAGGGTATCTAAAGCATCTGTTCACGAGTGTGTAAACCATAAATGAGCCTGATCTGACTTGTAAGATAGCGGTCAGAGCCCAAATGTGAACAATTCAAAATGCTAATAATTTTTACTTTGACCTGACCTGTGACGTCATCGGTGACCTCGAGGTCAATGAAATTAGGTTTCGTTCGACAGTTTTTCCGGAGCTATCAGACGCCGTTTGAATTTTGACGATCGGCCCAGTAGTTTCGGAGTTAGGAGGGGGGGGGGCTATGATAGCCCCCCCCCCCCCCAGAAGGGCGTGTTATACGCAGACCCCAGTGGGGCGCGGGTTAAACTAGGGACCCTCCCACCTTCAAAAAAGTTTATGAATTGGCATGAAAGTGATGTCGCTCGGTTCAGAAAGAGCGAAAACGAATATCTACCAAATTTCACCGAAAAATATTCACCGGTTTTCAAGATATTAGACTTTTACTTTTGTTTACTTTTTGGGATCTCCGCTGGTGCGACTTTATTTGGAAGCAATAGTTTGGCAGCTGAGCCTGAAAGTGCGGCATTTGTTGCGCGCAAAGCAGCATATACCACCGCGTGCTACAAAACGTTTTAGTCAAACATTTAAAAATCGTTAGATATCTGCGCTGACGTCACACATTCAGAGGGGTATTCCTATGCATTAGCCCCTCTGAATCAAAATGCTGCAATTTTGAAATTCAATATTTCCGATTTAAGGCATTTCTCGATGTTGTGAGTGCCGAAACCGGTAATTGTGAGCCAGGGACCCCATTTTGGCTATCTCAACTCAAATCTAATGTTAAGGTGGGAGGGTCCCTTTAACCCGCGCCCCAGTGGCGGTCTCAGCCAACTTCGCCCTAGTGGGGGGGGGGGGGGGGCATATGTTACCACCCACCTCTAACTCAAAAACTAAGAGGGCTAGAAAGATGCGGTAAAAAGCTATCGATAGCTCTCAACGCGTACGTTTGAAAGCATTAAGGTCATTTTCATCTTAGAGCAATATTGGGGTCACTGGAGGTCATCATAGGTCAAAATTTGCCAAATGTCATTATATTTCTCAGAAAACATGCATTTATCTCAGAAACTATGATAGCTAGAAAAACGCATAAAAAAAAACAATCGATAGCTTTTGAACTCTTCTTTTGAAAAGGTCATTATCAAAATTGACCTCAGGTCAACGGTTTAGCCTGCAGAGGGCAAAAACTCCAAAAATAGCTGTTTTTACTAAATGTGTTTTTCGACAATAACTTTTGACTAAAAAAAGCCACAACATTTCTATTACCAGAATCGTGTTGCTGTCGACGAGACGCGTCGAATGAACTATAATTTGACCTTGAAAGGTCAACTTGAAAATTTGACCTCGGGTCAAGGTCATGACCTGACCGGAAAAGGTCATGTTGCATATCATTCGATGCGTCTCGGCAAGACAAACACAATGAGGCCATCCCCAGCGTCTTATCTCTTTCCAGTCGAGAGTTATTGGCAAAAAGCTGTTTGTAGCCTCAAATGACCTCGGATGACCTTTCTAGAGGCTATCAGCAAAAAACACACATTGGTCGTCACGGGTGGTCCAAATCATTGTGATTCTGAAATATTTGGACTGTTCCTATGCGTACACACGGATTTAGAGGCACTTTCATTTTTCTCCATTGCCTTCCCAGCAAACATGCCCACATGGGTCCCATATGGGGTGAACATGGGCCAGATGGGCCCACGTGGGACATGTGCTACAGATGGGCTACCCATATGGGCCCCATATGGGATAAAAATGGGCCAGGTGGGCCAAACGCATGTGGGCTGGAGATGGGCATCCCATGTGGGTCCCATATGGATCACCCATGTGGGCCCCATTTAAGTTACTCCAAGTGCATAAAAGCAAAAAAGGTGGCTGTTGTTCATGTGTATTTTGGACTCCAAGTATATCAAATTCATACATGATGCCATATGGGGTCAATGTAGGCTGGCCCATATGGGTCCCATGTGGGCGCCGCGTGGGTCCCATATGGGGCCTACGTGGGCTGGCCCATATATGGGTCTCACGTGTCACCCACTGCCATTCCCATGTGGGGCCCATATGGAAGAGGTGGGGGGCCCATATGGGAACCATGTGGGCATGTTTGCTGGGTTATAATGGTAAGGTCACGCCACTGACCTGACCTTAGGTCACGCCACTGACCTGACCTTAGGTCACGGATATAAAAAATCCGAGATATACAAATTGTAGGCGCCCATAACATCATGCAATCCACCAAGTTTGAAACCTTTCTGTCAAACACTGCAGGCTGGACATGATTGCAAACTTTTTTAGGCTTGGTCAGTTAACTTGACCTGGTGACCTGACCTGACATGACCTGGGGTCAAAAATTTAACACATTGTCCAAAATTGATGTACAAAAAGCTACCCCAAGCGGCGTGGCGCTGCGCGCCGCGGTTTTTTATTTACACGCAAAAAACGCGACAGGGTGGTAACATATGCCCCCACTGCACTGGGGCGAAGGTTAAGGAGCTCTTTTTCAACTTCAACCTATCCTGATATAAAAGAAGAATGACAACCCAATCCCTTGTGGGATTCTGCTACCATTATGATGACAGCATGTTCTGTGGAAAAGCTTGAGCTTATTTCTGTGCCTTGATTTCAGGTGGCAGCTGATCACATCAGTCATTTAGCATGAGCGGGATTCCGGACAAGTCATGGCAACCGCCCACTGTCAAGATGCAAACCACGTAAGTATCCCATGACCCGTGTAGCCCGGTGTAGAAGCACGCATGCTTTCCATGCGCTTTTGTGTGGATGGTTTTAAACGTAACTGTGTCATGAATCGGCTTCACCCCTGCATCAAAATTGATATTTACTTGAGATACATTCATGATGGTACCTAATACCTATCACAGACAGACCCCTAACAATAACCGAGGATCCATACATGAGCAGAGTAAATTCAAACGGATTGCAATAGTGATTACTGAGTGTGTTAGAAAATCTCTCCGACTCTCAGTAATGCGTAGGTATTACTTGTTGTTGTGTATCTGCAGCAATTGCTGGGGTCTGGGCACAGCAGAAGTGCATTTATAATATGTATGCACTTGCCCGTGTATCCCTTTAATTGAGCGTGCGTTCGGCATCCGGAAAATGAGGGATAATTAGCCGGGATCACCGATAATAATTTGGCATTGCAGGGGCCATCGATGCAAATAGTCACATTTTTAGATTGCTTTTGCTACACTAATGGCTCTTTTACTTGTTGTCATGTCCGTTGTACACGGTGTCAGCTTAAAACACGATCCCGGTGATCCCGGAAAATTATCCCTGGTTATCCGGATGCCGAATGCACGATGAGTTTCAGCCCGGTGTTCAGGGCGATGTTTCACGGCACGCTGCCAGCACGCCGCCAGCACAAGTGGTAAATTCGGAACAACCTCATAGCTCCAACCTCATAGGAGTGTAAAGACCTGGCCCCAACACTACCACAAGCTGTGACGTCAGCTCGCGAAATGCGCTGGCAGCGTGCTGGCAGCGTCCGTGAAACAGGCCCAGAACGACTCAAAATCTTGGCGGGAGTGCCGCCATCTATGCATCAATCACGAACCTGTGGTTGCTGCTGTGGCTGGTGATGTCGCCGTAGCGGGTCGCTGGCTCGATCATTCGTTTCGATCATATGCTACTTTGCGTATTAGACGCTGTGTCTGCTTTTAATGACATGAGACTGTTTCTGTTTCAGGATGGGGGAAATCGTGATAGAGCTGTATTGGGAACACGCGCCAAACACATGTCGAAACTTTGCGGAGCTGTCAAGAAGGGGATATTATAATGGTTGCAAGTTTCATCGGATCATCAAGGATTTCATGATCCAAGGTAGGTTTCGTAGTGTACACTCGGGGGCAGATTGATGTTCTACAACTCTTTATCCACCGGGTTCCTATGGCTCAGCATTGGCAGCAGCAGCCTGGTACCGGTAGACTGTGCCGCTTCACTTACTTGTCAAGCGGCACAGCCTACCCACACCGTATGCCACCGGTCTGGGTCGGTGGCTGAAAGGCGATGTGGGCCGCCTGTGACGTCAGCGCAGCGGTGAGGGCCGAGCCCGGAGGCATGGCTCGGGTCGGCGCGGCGCGGCGGCTGGCAAGGGCTGGGGAGTGAGGTGGGGTGGGAGCACGGACCATCGCGCGGCTGAGCGAGTGTAGTTAACTTTCGCGTCTCAAGGCGCCAATTATTCTACCTAACAATTGTGCTAAAGCAGTTGTTAAAATGTCCTATCCCCAAGACAGCGCCTATCATCATACTTGCCATGCACATTGCACATTACGACACACTTAAACGTGGCATTGGGACAGCCGATAGAATTTATATCACACGCGCATCGAGTTGCGGAGCTACATTGTTTTTAGCAGATAAGTATTAAGGTCTTGATTGAGCTCATTGGTGTCTATTATTTCGCACAGCAATCGTCCAGAGACGTGGGAACTGGGGTTTTTGGGTAGCGCGGCGTCCCAACTTTAAGCAACTCTTACTGTTCCTCTAATGTGTGGTCGCAGCCACCAATAGCAAACCGTTCGATCTAGGAACAAATAAGTCGCGCACCTGAGACGGTTCGAACCGGGTTTCTCCAAACGGTCACCCTACGACGCTAGCGTGTATCCACTGAGCTGCCGAAACCAGCGACCACCCGCCGCGGTCAAACGCGATCAAATGTCACAATACTGTCATTGGCGGTCAGCGGGTGAATGTCATTTTGTTTTGTACAGACGAGGATCATTCTCGGTAGCTCAGTGGATGAACACTCGTGTCGTGAATTGGCCGGTGGGAGAAGCCCGGTTCGAACCCCCCTGAGTGGCCGACTTTTTGGCTCCTAGTTGGAACGGTTTGCTATTGGGGGCTGCGACCACATATTAGAACAACAGTAATGATCGCTTTAAATTGGGGCGTTGGCTGCGGCACTACTCATAACCCCCAGTTCCCACGTCTCTGGACGATTGCCGTGCGAAAAAACAGACACCAATCTGCTCAATCAAGGCCTTAATACTAATATGTTATACAAAATACCTATAGCTCCGCACCTCGATGCACGAGTGACATAAGTTCTATCGGCTGTCCCATTGCCACGCTTAAGTGTGTCGTAATGTGCATTGCAAGTATGATGATAGGCGCTGTCTTGGGGATAGGACATTTTAACAACTGCTTTAGCACAATTGTTAGGTAGAATAATTGGCGCCTTGAGACGCGAAAGTTAACTACACTCGCTCAGCCGCGCGATGTCCGTGCTCCCACCCCACATCACTCCCCAGCCCTCGCCAGCCGCCGACCCGAGCCATGCCTCCGGGCTCGGCCCTCACCGCTGCGCTGACGTCACAGGCGGCCCACATCACCTTCCAGCCACCGACCCAGACCGGTGTCATACGGGTGGGTAGGCTGTGCCGCTTGACAAGTAAGTGAAGCGGCACAGTCTACCGGTACCAGGCGGCTGCTGTCAATGCTGAGCCATAGGAACCCGGTGGATAAAGAGTTGTAGAACATCAATCTGCCCCCGAGTGTACCTTCATTTTCTTCACGCCAAGTACTATTTTTTGTTTTGAAATTTGGTGTTAAATATCAATATTTTGACGTCTATTTAGGTTCATTGTCAATATGCAAACGCCTTGCAGTGGGAATGTTCGGGGTGGTTATTTGTGGTCTCACTTAACCCTCTCATGTGTGCGGCGTTTGCCAGCTTCCAATGTGTAGGGGGGGGGGGGTCGGTTGGGCCCCCCCTTGCCGTTTGGCCCCTGATCGAGCTAGAGCTTCGCGGAAAAAACGAGCGTGTTGCCCGTGACGAGAGGAAGCCGATGATACCCAATTTTAAAGGGACCCTCCCACCTTAACATTAGTTTTGAGTTGAGATAGCCAAGTTTGCGGCCAGGCTCAGAAACCACCATTTATCCTGGTCGCAACCCCCGCAGCTTTATAGTGTTCAAGAAATTTCTTCCCTTTACTTGCAGGGTGGGACCAGCGTAGTCCCTATCTCTTAACACTAACGGACTCTGATGACGTCATCAAGCCCATTGACCGCGCGTTATAAAATAAAAGTCTTATATTTCAAAAACGAGTGAATATTTTTCGGTGAAATTTGGTAGATGTTCATTTTCGCTCTTTCTGATTCACGGTACATCACTTTTATGCCAATTCATTAACTTTTTTAAGGTGGGAGGGTCCCTTTAAGGTCATAGGTCATTGGTTGACCTTCCAGGTCAGGTCAGTGACCAAAAGTCGGGGAAAATCGGGACCTTTTAGAAAGTCGTAAAGTGTGGCTGCTAAGGGTTTTTCGGGGTGCTGATCACGAATATCGTGTTAGTTTTGATCACAGATGATGTCTTTAAGCATTTAGACCAGGTCGGGTCAGGTCAGGTCAGGTTAACCAGTAGGCGTCGTGACGGGTATTCGTAGTACGTGTCAACCGCCTCTGACAGCTTCGTAACATGTTACGAAGTCACCAAAACTACTTCGTAAATGTTCAAATGGTTGCTAAATTCGAATTCAGCGCCAAAAAACTAGCCTAGAAACATGTAAAACTGGAAAAAGTGAACCGAGGTCACCAAAGGTCAGTGACCTGACCTGACCTTCAGGTGACCTTAACACCCACCCTAATGCATGGGAGCAACATCAAATCACATGTTTGAACGTTTGAAACCACGAAAAGCTTGCAAACGTGCGGCTAATGCAAGCCGACATACGCGGAATCGCGATTCCGGCCAAACATGGTCTCGGAAAAGAGGTCACAGGTCAAAGGTCATTTGGGTCAGGGTCATGAAATTTTCAGGGTAGGTGTAAAATTGATCAATGCGAGGGTACTGAAAGTTTCGTCGCGATCGGCCGCTTTTTACGCGAGTTATTTGCGAAAAACCATGGGGGGTCCATCCGACCCCCCCCCCCCCTACACATGCGAGGGTTAACCCGCGCCGTGCCGCAGATCTGAAATTTCCTTGCAGTGCTGGGAGGGGGGGGGGGGGCGGGGCGTAGCCAGGATTTCCTCAAGGGGGTTCCAAACTTACAGGGGCCCAAGGTAGCCCCTAAAAATAAAAATAAAAGTCGTCGGATTTCATCCACTATTTTTTGGAAGTGGCCCAAATAAATTGAAAAATATTTATTTTAAAAAAATGAAAAAGTTTGAATGAAGGGGCAAGCAGTCCATGGGCCCCTGTTAGATAGACCCACGAATAGCTTCATAGAGTCGCTCAGCCGGTTCTGAAGGCATCCTGAGGGCCCCGTGTGGTCGGATGAGGGTCATTCAGACCGTCAAAGGCCCTTACAGCCCATGAGAGCCTCGTAAGCGGGCTGAAGGTCATGTAAGGCGTCTAAGGGCCACTCAGACCGACAAAAGGACCCCTTGCACTTGCAGAGGGCCTTGTCGAAACGACGTAGGGCCCTCTAAGACAAACTATGGGCCCATCAGGTCATTTGAGGGCCTCCTCAAACCGATAGGGGCCCCTCAGATCGACAGTGGATCCTATCTGAGATCCCTCAAACCGACTTACGATCAGACCAACAGGAAACCAACAGATCAACAGAGGGCCCTTCAAGTGAACAATGGACTCTCTCAGGTCGATCGAGGGCCCCATAGACGTTGCAATAGACCGGAGAGGGTCCCTCAGAACAGCGGAGGGTCTCTCCCAGGTCGGGAGAGGGACCCTGAGACCGACAGAGGCCCCTCATGTCGATCGAGGACCTCCTCAGGTGGGGAATAGTCCCTCCAATTGATATACATAGGCCCCCTAGGACGAACAAAGAGCCCCTCAGGCCGACCGGGGGCCCCTCAGACCGACAGAAGGCCCTTTCGGTCCAAAAGGGCCTCTCGCGCAAATAGCGGTTCCTTTACACTAACAGAGGACCCTTCAGATATTAGTCAGAGAGCCCCATCATGAGCTCGCCTCAGAGGACAACTCCACGCGTTCAGAGGACCCTCGGTAGCTAAGAGGGCTCCCGTCAAGCGATCAGGGGCCCTTTCATACGCTCAGAGGATTTTACTGTAGCTCAGAAGGCCCACGTCAAGCAATCAGGGGCCCCTTCATACGTTCAGAGAGCCCTACCGTGTACTCAGAGGGCCTTCCTGTAGTTCAGAGGGCCCCTGACAAGCAATCAGGGCCCCTTTATGCGCTCCAGCGATCAGGAGTCCCTCCATGCATTCAGAGGGCCGTCTCGTGTATTAAGAGGGCCTTTCTGTAGTTCAGAGGGCCTCTATCAAGCGATCAGGGGGCCCTTAGTGCAATCAAAGGGTTTCCCTGTAGCTCAGAGGGCCCCCGTCAAGCGATCACATCCCGGAACTTTTGAAACTTAGAAGGGCCCTGCCGTCAGCTTCGGGGATAGGGGCCCATGGAAAGCCCAAGGAGGGTGGGTCCCTAGGGATCATAGGGACCCCCTTCGCCACGCCACTGGGGGGGGGGGGGCGTTTCGCCTCCCCCCGTAGTTTCACCTCCCCCCCGTAGAACGTAGTTTGAATTTTGCGGATCTGTCCAGTAGTGTCGGAGATACGAGGGGGAGGCGAAAAATAGCCCCCCCCCCCCCACACACACACACACCGTCGCGTTATAAAAAGACCCCACCAGGGCGCGAGTTAACCCTCGCCCGCACATGCCATTTTCCCATCCTAGAACGCACATGGGGGGGGGGGGGGTTGCCACCCCCCGCGCCATTTCGTTCCTGTTGGAGATAGAGCTTAGCGGTAAAGACCAAAAAGATTCTTTGGGAAGAGACGAATCCAATGATACCCAGTTTTACCTTCTCAGGTCAGTCATTGACCTTCCAGGTCAGGTCAAACTAAAAAATGTTGCTGTTTTGGGTCACCGTTGAATATCAAGTGCGCTGCTTATCATATACCGATGACGATGCCGTTTTCTGGTGCCAAGCCAGCTAGAACCTCTTTGTCACACTGCCCGACCAGGTTTTTGCTGCTGAGGTCATTTCAGGTCAAGTTAGGTCAAGGTCAATTTTATGTGTTTGTATGTCTGTGTGTGTCTGTGTGTATACTGATGTGTGCACCGATTGGTTATGTGTCCATATTACATGAAATCATGATCTGAGAAGCTTTTACCAAAAATGCAGTCAAAAAAACTTCACAAAAAGTAAATTCCGCTTGCCTAAAACGCAATTATCTTAGATGACCTAGGTTGACCTTGACCTTGACATCTGTACATCGTCGAACAACATGTTCCATGATAGGTGAGAGGTAAGACTGGCAAAAAAGGCCGAAATCAAGGTGTCAAAAGCTCACAAGGCCCATAGCCAACGCAAGATGTTGAGAATTGGCCATTTGGGTCATGACATGACCTGAAAAACAAGGTCATATCTCCGAAACCAAAAATCACAGAAACTTGAAATTTTCAGTGGACGTCAAGAAAGGATAGAGGAGCAGCTATACGAAAAATCAGCCTTCTAGCTCTAAAAATGTTGAGTGCAGAGCAGAAAGACTACCTGGGGGGGTGGCAACAACCCCCCCCCCCATGTGCGGGCGAGGGTTAATGGTCTTTACCGCATATGCCTACGTCTTTTCTGTGATTTTATGCTTTTTAAACGTGTGCCGTTTTTTGGTCGAGAACTCAGAAATCATGGCATCAGTAGAATTTCGATATTTAAAAAAATCTGATCCATTTTTTTAATTTTGTCCTAATATATTTCAATAAACCCCCTACAAGTACCCTTTTTTGCTCAAGCGCGGCGAAAAAAGGGGGCGTCTAACGCCCCGCGGGTTAAGTTCGCTGAACTTTAACTGAAATTTAAGAAGAATTCAAGTTTATGCGGCCTTCTCCATCAGGAAAGAACGTTGACATTCTGGACGTCAGTTTAGACTGCAGTCAGCATAACAGAAAGCTTCTCTTCTCTGGACAAGATTATGACGATCGATGATGTCATCCCTTTAATTTGACATCTACATAGATTCCACATAGGCCTCAATGATCCAGATCTTTGAAGCCTGCGTAGAATCTGTCAAGGGTGATAGGTATTTAGGCTAGACCAGTGTGCGGATTTAATAACGTACTATAGTTTATAGTTTTAAGTTTATATTTATAGTTTATAGTTTATATTTATAGTTTATAGTTTATATATGTATTGATGAAGACTCGTATCATTTGTATCGTCTCTCGAAGCTCGCCTTTTCCCTTAGGTGGAGATCCCACGAGCACGGGCCGAGGCGGCGCTTCGATTTACGGCAACTCGTTCAAGGATGAGATATCCCCGGAGCTGAAGCACACGGGCGCCGGCATATTGTCCATGGCGAACTCGGGCCCCGACACCAACGGAAGTCAGTTCTTCATCACACTGGCGCCCACGCAGTGGCTGGATGGAAAACACGCCATCTTTGGTGAGTAGTGAGCCTTACTAAGGGAAACTCGCCATCTTTGGTGAGTAGTGACCCTTACCACGCAGTGGCTGGATGGGAAACACGCCATCTTTGGTGAGTAGTGAGCCTTACGAAGAGAAACTCGCCATCTTTGGTGAGTAGTGACCCTTACCACGCAGTGGCTGGATGGAAAATACGCCATCTTTGGTGAGTAGTGACCTTTACTCAGGGAAACTCGCCATCTTTGGTGAGTAATGTCCCTTATCACCCTGTGGCTGGATGGGAAACACGCCATCTTTGGTGAGTAGTACACAAAGGCTGGATGGGAAACGTATTTGGTGAGTAGTATTCCTCATAACACAGTGGAAAACACGCCAGCTTTGATGAGTAGTACATAGATACCCCTTACCACACAGTGGCTGGGTGGGAACCACGCCATCTTTGGTGAGTATTGTCCCGTACCACACACTGTGGCTGGGTGGGAAGCACGCCATGTTTGGTGAGTGGCGTTCAATGAAACTATCCAGCTTACGGCTAAGGAACGCGAGTGGAATGTAATCAAGCGCACTCACCTCACCTGTAGTTCGTTTTTTAAGTTCGACCCTCACTGTAAACATCTTTTTGAACATAGCACGAGAATTATTACTAGAATTACTAGCTGAATTACTGAGAAAACTAGCTAGCGCACAGCGTATTAGAGATATCAATAATATTTTCCAAATAAGTTTTGAACACCAATGATTATAAAAAAAATGTTGTGCAATGAATTAGTAAGTTCGATTATATCTCCTGCTAAGTCGTATATAGGTACCTGTGGAGTTGTGAACATAGGTAAATACGAGCTGAGAGTCTTGGGAAATAGGAGCGAGGTAGAAATAATTTTGATAAAAGTTGATCGTCTGTGAAATCAATGTGCGCCGAACAGTTTTCTCTAATAACGAAACAGCATCGCCACAATTTTATTTTTACACCACAGCTTTCTTGCATGTGCGTTAGCTATGACGAAGCGAAGCTCACACTTATTTTATTGACAGTGTTCGCTTACGGTGGTGGGCTCCTACGTTTATGACGCGATTGGCGTTTTTGCACTCACTGTTTCTAATCATCGATTAGGTCAATATTTGTGCTACACGGATGTTTTTCTTGTAGGGATATTAATTTTTGATTATTTTATCATTATCAGCTGACTTTCGCACTTTGTGAAGCCATTCAGTTGCGTCTGAAGATTCGGCTGCGTCTGAAGTCGGTGTGACCGTGGCGTCGTGTGTCCGTCTGTCCGACAGGCCGCGTTCAGTCCGGCATGGACGTGGTGAAGCGGATGGGGATGGTGGAGACCGACTCCGGCGACCGGCCCGTCGACGACGTCCGGATCAACCGGGCAGAAGTGAAGGCGTGGTAGTGTCCGCTGCTCACCCTGAATCGCACCTCATCGGCCGATAACACTGGCATTGTTCACATACATGGTTCATAAATACATTACATATATTGGACTTTTTCTTTCGCCTTTTGATTAATTCGCCCCTAGACATATGAACCACTGCATTCCTCCTAAATCTCAATTGCGTGGAATGATAGCAGTCTACAGGGCGAAAGTAGCGAAAGTTGGCGAACCTCAAACCCGCAGATACCTTACAACAGGTCGTCACCACAGCACGGTTGATTCCGTTACGTCCATCGACCGACCCCTCGCCATCAATGCCCGTTCACCCAGAGTCTGAAAACTCCGTCTGTGGACTCTCATCACACGGAAACCGCCGCGGTGTCATATTCAGTTCTGTCCACGCGGAACGGAGCTGAGTGTCGAGTGTTACATCTACAAATATAGAGCGGCTGTTATACCATCGGTTTCGTATGATACCTGATAAGCGATAAGCCTCGTCTTATTCCTCGATAGTTCGTCAAGCTCGGCTCTGCCTTCTCTAGCAGTTCCAGGCGGCCAGAACCGCTGCTTTCACGGGCATGGCCTGCCTCATCGCACTGCTGGCTTCTCCGCTATTTGACCCAGCATCGCGACGGGATGGGCGATGGGAGGGTAAGGGAGGTCGTCCATCAACTGGATCCGGCTGGGGCTCCGACGACCGCCGCCGTCTGTGAGGCCGCGCTTTGGACCGTTCCTTCGGCTCGTAGTGTAAAATGGCGCGGCTCTTGTCTCGCGAATCTTCGTTTACAGCGTTGGTGTTATATTTCTGCATGATTAATAATTCCGCTGTAATGAGATATTCATGTAAGTATGATCCATTTAATTGCATTTCAGGCTGAGGCAGAGCCGCTCGTAATGCGACTTTTTAGTAGGGAATAATCGATTCGGGGCTGAAGTGCCCGCTGCGAGAACTAATGCGAGTTTTCGGGAACGAGGGGAGCTTCGAAAAAGGTAAAACATCCAGTCTCGAGTCTATAAACGGCAACAGCTCACCAGGAATGTCGAAATGGTACGAGTGGTCCTTTGCATAGACGTCTATGTCAATGTTGAATAGTTGGAAACATTACGTCCAGGGCAGGTACTTAGGGGGACATGGTACGGTAACTGGACCGCAGCATATTTGGTTGGCACGAGGCACCCCGTATCCAGTATCGGCGGCTGAGTAAACGGTGCGTCGTCGGCGCGCGTGGCAGAGTGCCGCCGCCGCGGCCGCCGGAGAGCGGCGCTCTTCCGGGACGGCCATTGCTTCGGGTCCTATCGATCTGACGTCGCCGGGGAGGTGTGCGCGCCGACCCACTGCGCTGGCCTGCAGCCGCGCCCGCAGCGCACGGCCACGGATCGGCCGGCAATTTGTGCAACTGGCCAGCAGAGCGACATTGTGCCATTGCCACGCCTCCGGCGGGTGAGATGTGGCCGGACCATGGAGTGCGCCGACTGGTTGTAGTTCTAGTAGTGCTCTGTGTCGGAATCGAACGCGCTCAGGCCGGGAATCCGGACGCCAAGCGACTCTATGACGATCTGCTCTCCAACTACAACAAACTCGTGCGACCGGTGAAGAATACAACGGACGTCCTGACTGTGTACATAAAGCTGAAGCTCTCCCAGCTGATCGATGTCGTAAGTAAAACTCCAAATGTCCAGTGCAGTCATCCTTCTGCATGATGCACGATGTACGAATTTTTTAGCGGTAAAATCATTCGGCTATAGCCAGAAAGTTTGACGGTGCATTTAAGTACGTCACCGAAAGGGGGAGGGGCAAATCTCGTCCTGAATGACGTCCAAGGAAGCGGGGACTACTGGGATGGAACACAAAAACGGTTTATTTCGGCCGAGCGTGACCTAATGATATTATAGATCGGTGACCTAATCTGATAGGAATCCATAGGTTTCAGGTAATGCCTGAGCTAGGAACGGAAAACTATGATGACATTTTGTCCCGTCCGTTTGTGTATTGCATGTATTCATGAAAACCTTGCAGGGATTACATTTGTCACTCAAATGTACCTACGTCGCATCCCGGCGATGGCTAAGGACCGTCGATGAACGTCGTTCTGAAGAACAACGGTTATTGCTTTGCAGGAGCTTAAATGCTTACGTTTAAATGCTGCAAAACGACTCTTATAAATTTTTAGCTTATTTATGATTTAATCTTCAATCTTCCATATACCTATCCATCTATCCATCTATCCATCTATCCAACTGTCCTTTCCATCTGAGCTAGCTGGGTCAATGACGGGTGGTCAGTCTTGAGTCTAATTAGTGTGGATGGTGGAATTATTCGTACAGTGGGTCTATTTAAGATCTCCAGAGCCACCACGTGGCGCTACGGTCGGGGTAGGGCGAGTCCAAATCCCGAGGGGAGTGAGGTCATCGGTCATTGTGGGGGAAGGAGGGGAGGGGATAGGACCTTGGGGAGGGGAGTGACGCGGTATCACGGCGCATGGGGCGTGCGTAGCGCCGGGAGTGGGCCGCCCAGGGCCGCCCGCCACTGCGCCGAGGCTGAGGGGAGGGGATGATGGTTGCGGGTGCGTTCACTCCGGTATGGTGGTATCCTGTTCATGTGGAACCAGCAAAAATGCGACTGAAGGGAATCATTATCTCAATGAAACGGGCAAGCGAGAGGCAGCGCCAGTTCCAGCCAAAATGTTGAACAATGATAATTGAAATATAGGACGTATTCATAGCATGCAACTATTCAGTCGATAGTTGCATGATGGCTTAGGCTTTTCTAAAAGTTGTTTTTTGATATGGATATTTTTTCATTTGGCACGTTCAGTTTTGGTGAGCTTTATCGGGCCGAAAAGAATCAGAAAAGAACAGAGTTGAAATGGCCCCAGAAAAATGACCAAAAAATATTTTCTTAACAAATGAAACTTAGCTTAAAGGGACCCTCCCACCTTAACATTAGATTTGAGTTGAGATAGCCAAAATGGGGTCCCTGGCTCACAATTACCGGTTTCGGCACTCACAACATCGAGAAATGCCTTAAATCGGAAATATTGAATTTCAAAATTGCAGCATTTTGATTCAGAGGGGCTAATGCATAGGAATACCCCTCTGAATGTGTGACGTCAGCGCAGATATCTAACGATTTTTAAATGTTTGACTAAAACGTTTTGTAGCACGCGGTGGGCGTATTTACAAATTGCAACCGAGCTCCGCCGTAGGGTATTTTATTTCCGCCGTAGTGTATTTCACTTGGGGCATTTTCTACCATACATCTGCCTGAGCTTGGGGTAATTACAATTTGCCGGCGACGTTAAAAAATGATGCACCTTTTTTTCGCAGTATAGGTTATCGCATGTGCATATTTTTGCCTTTTTGGTTGCGCTTTTCCCTCGCCCGTATAGGGGGAGGCATTGAACGGACCCCATCGGTTTTTCGTGAGTAACTCACGTAAAAACCGTCCGATCGCGACGAAACTTTCAACACTCCCGATTTTATCAATTATACACCTACCCTGGAAATTTCATGACCCTGACCCAAATGACCTTTGACCTGTGACCTATTTCTCGAGACCATGTTTGGCCCGAATCGCAATTCGGCGTATGTTGGCTCGCATTAGCCGCGCGTTTGCAGTCTTTACGTGGTTTCAAGCGTTGAAACATGTGATATGATGCTGGTCCTATGCATTAGGGTGGGTGTCAAGGTCACCTGAAGGTCAGGTCAGCTCAATGACCTTTGATGACCTCGGTTCACTTTTTCGAGTTTTACATGTTTCTAGGCTAGTTTTTGGAGCTGATTTCGAATTTAGCAACCATTTGAACATTACAGGGGGTGTAACGAAATCATCCGGACACCTTTCTTCCCGCTGTAATTAAAAAGCAAAACATTCTGGTACTTTTTCTTTTAAAGCATGTAGCCACCGTTCATAAAAACACAGTGGCGAATGTTCTGGAGCATTTCAGCCCCTGGATTCTCCAGCACACTGGCTTTAATGCGGACCAACGCCGTCTAAACCTGTGCCTGCGGTTGGGCGGTGCTTGTGGCGGGCGTCTCTTAAGTCACCTGCTGAACAAGAGCCCACAGGTCTTCGAGTGAATTGGGATCGCGACTTTTTCCAAGTCATAAGCGTTAGCCCAGAATGATTGAAGGTTCTATCGGCATCACTTCCCGTTCTTTTAGGGACTTTTAAGTAGCGCGCCGCCCCGCATGAAGACAGCGTGGCTTGAATCAGGCATCAGTGCGCGTTCAGAAACCGAGCCCTCCTATACCGTCTGGTTGAGCGTCTCCAACCATTCATTGGCCAGTATGTGGCTCCGGTAATACTTGACGTTGATGGCGGTATTATGTGACACTAAGTCCTATTGGAGCATCGCTAGGCAGCTGAACATGCTCCAGTTCTGGATATTGTCCAGATGTTTGACGGCGGCGAAGGCCAGCAAGTTCGAGCGGCTGGCCGCCCATACATGACCGATTTGACGGTTCAAAGGATAATACAGCTCGAATGGCTACCCATCCAACCAGGGATGCGGAGCCGGAGCCGGAGCCGGTATATTTTGCCCGGAGCCGGAGCCGGAGCCGTGAAACAATATAGCCCGGAGCCGGAGCCGGAGCCGGAGCCGTCAAAAAAGGGGGCGACTCCGGCTCCTTTTCTTAAGAGGAAACAATTATTAACTAGTTCGGTTTGACAGTACAAGGCGTAAAACAATGTGGTATTCAAAATAGCCTTGTTATACAAATACAGAAGCAACGTGTACCAATCCCATCGCCTTTTTTCTTCCACCCGTATTTAATTGATCGCATAGGGGATGTACTGAGTAGAAGAAGGAGCCGGAGCCACCGGAGCCGGAGCCGCCGGAGCCGGATCATTTTACTCGGAGCCGGAGCCGGAGCCGGAGCCGCCATCACATTTCACCCGGAGTCGGAGCCGGAGCCGGAGCCGGATCCGGATCCTGAGCCGTCTGAAATTTCCACGGCTCCGCATCCCTGCATCCAACCAGACCACCTCACCCTTATCTTTCTTCAACCAGTGGACGCGATCTGGCGTGAGGCGAAAGGTGGTGAACTGGTTGCTTTTCTGTCAGTTTCGTTGTCTTTTTCAGTTTGAAGGGCACTAGAACCAAGTTAAAGGG